GAATGCCCTCGACCGTGTCTCCCGCATTTCCCGCAACTCATCCCTCACACCCCCTCCCGGCAATAACAACCAAAACAGAATTCCCCTCGTCTTCACGTACCACCCCACCAACCTCCGGATCCAACGCATCATCCTCCGACACTTCCGCCATCTGCAATCCGACCCCATCACCAAAGACACTTTTCCCTCCCCACCCTTTATCTGCTTTCCGGAGGGACCACTCTCTCTGTGACTCCCTTGTCCGCTCCACACTGCCCTCCAGCCCCACCACACCCGGCACTTTTCCCTGCAACCGCAGGAAGTCCTACACCTGCCCCTACATCTCCCGTGTACCCTCACCCCCATCCCAGGCCCCAAGAAGACTTTCCACATCAAGCAGATGTTCACCTGCACATCTGCTAATGTGGTATACTGGATCTGCTGTTCCCGTTGTGGCCTCCTCTACATTGGGGAAACCAAGCGCAGGCTTGGGGACCGCTTTGCAGAACACCTACGCTCGGTTAGCACTAAACAACTGCACCTCCCATGCGTGAACCATTTCAACTCCCCCTCCCATTCCTCAGACGACATGTCCATCCTGGGCCTCCTGCAGTGCCACAACGATGCTACCCGAAGGTTGCAGGAACAGCAACTCATATTCCGCTTGGGAACCCTGCAGCCCAATGGTATCAATGTGGACTTCACAAGCTTTAAAATCTCCCCTCCCGCTACTGCATCCCAAAACCAGCCCAGCTCGTCCCCGCCTCCCTAACCTGTCCTTCCTCCCACCTATACCCTCCTCCCACCTCAAGCCCCACCCCTATCTCCTACCTACTAACCTCATCGCGCCCCCTTGACACCTGTCCGTCCTCCCTGGACTGACCTATCTCCTCCCTACCTCCGCACCTACACTCACCTTTACTGGCTCCATCCCCGCCTCTTTGACCTGTCTGTCTCCTCTCCACCTATCTTCTCCTCTATCCATCTTCTATCTGCCTCCCCCTCTCTCCCTATTTATTTCAGAACCCCCTTCCCCTCCCCCATTTCTGAAGAAGGGTCTAGGCCCGAAACATCAGCCTTCCTGCTCCTCTGATGCTGCTTGGCCTGCTGCGTTCATCCAGCTGTACACCTTGTATATCTCAGATTCTCCAGCATCTGCAGTTCCTACTATCTTTGAATCTTAGTAGAACCGCATTTAGGGCACTCCATGCAGTTCTGGTCACCATATAATCAGGGGGGGTTCACCTAATGTCCTTCAGCGAAAGAAATCTGCCATCCTTACCTGGTCTGGTCTGTATGTCACTTGAGACCCCCAGCAATATGGTTGACTTTTGACTCGTTGAAATTTAAAAAAAAAGGTTGAGGGTGCAATTTTCCCTGACCTGAGTTGGTGAGAAGTGGAAATAATCCTGGAGAGGGATTCTTTCTATCCCTCCCCCTCCAGTCTCTCAACCCCTCCAATAAAGTGCTGAGCAAGAAGATTCATTGAGGACTTTTTTTGACGCCAGCAATAAAGGTTCTTGTGTGGTCAATTAAGGATCACGACACATTGCTTCCCCAATTACCTGTACCCCAGTAGGCGAGAAAGCTGGCTGAATTCCTGATTTGGGGTGGTGGGGAGTCTCTAATTGCCTTCATCCAGGGCCAATCAAAGGCACGGTGACACCAAGAGGCTGGCCTCCAAAAGCCCCCGCCCCCGCCCCCACCATGAAAAGCAAAAGAGATCTGCTTCCTTGCCATTGGATCTTGTTGAGGAGTAGGTCACAACTAGCTGCCTTCAGGACTCACAAGGCCAGTAGTTTCTGGCAACTGGTGTGGCTCTTATGGAGGCCTCAATATAAGAGGCAGACTTTGAGTCAACCTCCAACATGCTTGCCCCCACACTAAGCCTCAAAGAGGGTAAAACTCAGCCTGTTTTTGAAACCAATTACTTTGCAGTTTATATTGGAGTCTCCCAAAAGAGCAGCTGCTTGACATCTGTTGAATTGAAGGGTGGTGTAATTTTTTGGATTATTTTCAACAGAAGCATCATTTTGTTCTTGGAGCATTAACTAATATGATCATCTGGATTATTAAACATGCTGCAGTTTTACATGCAGGATTTTGTTTCTAGCTTTACTTGAAGTTACCAAAGCAACGTAAAACTGGTTACTGCTGCCTGGATGGGATAACTGTTGTCCTGTGTCTTTTGAAAAAGAGTAGTTGGTGTTAAAACTATAGAGTTTCATTTCTGCTGGCTAACATGTTTGTGCAAAGCTTATAATCAAATATTGTCGTTGATCTGTTAAAAGACTCTCTGGGTTTAATTTCCTCAATAGTTGCGACTTATTGACCTACGTTGACTCCCTGGCCACCAATGCCTTGATTTTACAATTCTTACTTTTCCTAAATCTGTAACTTCCTCCCCCTCTATAACATTCACAGATCTCTGTGCTCCCCCAGTTGACCTCTGGTGCATCTCTCACTGACTTTGCCACTGGGTGGGTGCCCTCTCTTGGGCATTTAAGGTGGCACCATGCTGCATACCAGCTACATACACATGGAAATGGGTATGAGCCTCTCCCACTGCTGGTTAGATGCAGCGGTGTCAGGATATGGCCCTTAAGTGGGTCTAATAGCTGTGGCGGTAGGGGTAGGCAGCTAGGCCACTGTTGGATTTAACATGTGCTAACCAAGATATCAAATCCACTAATTTCTGGTGTCATCTTTTTTTAATCCATTTATGAGATGTGAGCATCTCTGACAAGGCCAGCAATTGTTGCCAGATTGAAAGCAAAATATGTGGGTGGTGGAAATCTGAAGTGAAAACAAAGTGCTGGAGAAACTTAGCAGTTCTGGTAGTCTCTGTAGAGAGAGAAACCAAGTTAATGATTCCAATCTGATATGTCTCTTTGGAACGCAAGGTGGTGATGATCTGCTTTCTTGAACTGCAGCAATCCATGTGCTGTAGGTAGACCCACAATGTTGATGCAAAGGGATTTTGACAGTGAAGGAACAGTGACGTATTTCCAAGTCAGGATGGTGAGTGGCTTTGAGGGGAACTTAAGTGGTGGTGTACCGATGTATCTGCTGCCCTTGTTCTTCTGGATGGAAATGGTTGTGGGTTTGGAAAGTGCTGTGTATAGAGACTTGGTGAATCGCTGGAATTCTGCAGGGAGTCTTGGGCAGATCCCATCTGTAACATTAGCCAGCCATGATCTACATATTTTCCTTTCATTCAGTAAAGAACATGGTACCTGTTACAGAAAGACTCAAAAAGGAGAGTAAGAAGAGGAAGAAAATATATGTATAACCCGTTGATAAAATTAGATTTTAGATTTGGGAATATCACGAGCTTGCCAGATAAGGTACTGCATTTATTTGTACCTGGAGAAAGTTTAGGTTTATTGATGACTAACTTTCAAAAGTTTCCTTTTCTTGTTTGGCGCTTTTAGAACTCTTCCTTAACAGAGAAACCTGCAGTTATCTGAAGCCAATATTAACACACAGTGGCCCCCCGCTCACTGCCACATTGCCCAGTTGGTGTGGTCCTCTAGCACGATGCTTGACAAGTCCACTGGCTTACGAAGTAAGTACTGGCCACTAAGATTTAAACTAACTCACTTTGGAGTACATGTTGTTTCTTCTTCAAAAATAAATGCTAGGTTCTTTTCAGTTTAGAAAGTGGCTAGAAAATGCAAGTCACCTGAGGTGCTAGCAAAATTGGCGGGAAAACTGAACATTTTCTGGCTATGACTTGATTTCTGCAAGTGTTGGATATCTTTCATTGATTATTCCACTGTAGTGTTGTGGGATAGAAATCACCGGCTAGCTGCAGATATTTTTGTTGAAAATACTTTGCGCACGATTCAGGTAATTGTAGAAAATAAAACAATGAACTGCAGATGCTGGAGATTGAGGTTTTTTTTTCCTCTCTGGTATTAAATTCAGACATGAATTTATAAAACACATCCTTAGAACAGTTTCTAGGGTGTTTTGCCCAGCAGTTGCAAGTGATAGTTTGACCATTGGAGTGAATGAAGACAGTGTCGGTATGTCTGATGTGACACATATCCTTGGTCTCCATCCAGTAAGATGCCAGCTGTTTACTGTCTTGACATGCCTAAATGGAGCTGCTCCTTATTTCCTAATTTTTGTTGGAGATTGTAGTAACTTGCAGCTAAATGCACCGTATTCATCTTTTCTTTCCCTCATGGCAGGGACCTGCATGATATGTTAGCCCATATCTTGCTGTCAAAATAACTGTGAAGCTAACAGTTTATAAGTCTTGAAAACTCAGTTCTAAAAATGCTAATTACTGCCAAACAGCCTATCTGGTACTGAAAAGTAACTGTGTACAAGTGTGTAGCACCATTCCTTCACTTTTATTTGCTGTAAGAGTTTGTTTTTTAACTCTTCTGCTGCTCTCTTTTAATCCAATCTTTCTTTCCCTCCTTTTTTCTGTACCTGATCAAGCATTGAATTCACCAATTCTACCTTATACTTCCTTCCTTCTCTGTCCATGTATTATCAATTTCACAATTACTCAATGTGATTATTTTAAGGAAATAAACAATTTATTTCTCTGATCCCAGATGCTTGGCTTCCTTTGCTGCACTGTTAACAGTTCGCCCTTTCAGCAACTTGCCCTGCAAAATTTTGTAAGGGAAAGGTCTACACACCCAGTTGCTATTAGTTGCCCTATTATAGAAAACTCTGGCCCATTATAAACAGGATTGATCTTAAATAATCTAGTTGATGGTTGCAGATTCAAGAACAGCTATTTCCCTGCTGTTATCAGACTTATGAACGGACTTCTCATTTAGCATTGATCTTTCTCTGCAACTTCTCTGTAGCTGTTACACTATATTCTGTATTCTATTCTATTACCCTGATGTACTGATTTGTTTGGTTACCATGGAAAAAGTTACTTTTCACTGTATTTTGGTACAACAATAAATCACATCAAAATGATGGCCAAAGCCCAACTTTTTGAGCTTTTTCTGTTCAGGAAGATTAAATGCATCAAATTGTTAGAAGATATTGTAAGGATTATTCTTGGTGGGGTTAGGACAGTGTTTATATCTATTGCATTGAGATTATTGACAATATCCTGTAATAATTCTAACTTGCTACTTTTCATCTTCCAGAATCAAGAACAGCTCAGAGACGATGATTCAGATCTCATCCTTAATGATGGTGACCTGAATTTGACCTATGGTGGGAGTACTCTAACCGCCAATGGCTCTTCCAGCTCAGGTACTGCATCCAACAATGTGGATGGCAAGAGAACCAAGAGCATCTCCGAAGATGTACTGGAACGTGATTTGGGAACAGATGATCATGAACTCATTACTAGAGGCACCAGATTAGTTTTTCCCTTGGATGATCATGCATGACTGCAATGATATGAGTGAGCCACAGAATAGCCCAAGAAGGATCAAAGCCTATTTTGTTCTTGGAAGTGAGACTGAACTGTTTACTTGTGTAATGATTTTTTTTTTTCCCCTTGCTCTCCCCAAAAATCTCTTGGCTCAGCTATTTAAAGTGTGAGAATGTGAAAACATGTGTGGCATTTCACTAAACTTTTACTTAAGTATGAAATTGCCATGACCCTTTAGTGTACTACTAGTGCCATTGCTGTTGTAATTATCTTGTCGACTGACTGGTTAGTCTCAACACTGATGCTTCTCCTAAAGTCCCACTTACACTGCATGAACTTTCCTGGTGCAAAGTGGCTGCACTGAAATCGAATCTGCAGTATGATGCTGGCAGTCTCAGACGTTGCTGCCACCAGCATCGTGCACTCGCTGCAGTGAGTGTGCAGCTAATTTCTACCTTTTATAACATTCAAAACCATACAATGCAGGCAACATCTGTAGCTGCTGTACTGTCATTGCATTTTCGATCGTGGCAAAATGGAAGTTATCTCTTTGCTGCTCCTAGGAATGACACTGGAGTTGATTGGTGAGCAGAGCTCCATGCACATATTTCAACATAAATGCGCTTGGACCTTCTACCTCCTCCCAATGATGTGAGCAGTTATTTTGAACATACAGGTACACTGTCAAAAGTGGCATCTTGTGTTGGTACAACGTAACTGACTGTGTCAGTCTGAAATCTTGGTATAAGGTGAGGAAAGGCTTGTGATGGGTTGTTTGGGATGAAGGGGGTGTGGAGACAAGAAAGATCATAAAAATTTCAGCGAACTGTGAATTTTAATTACGGCCTCTGCATGATATAGAGAAGGGACAGTAAGCTCACTCTACCAACTCAAGGCACATTGTTTTCTAACGAGTAGTTTTGCTGTTGCAAAACTTACCTGTGTGTTCACATCCTTTGTATAGCTGTTGTATCCCCTTTATTCTACATATTTTCTATGTCAGTTTAAGACATTCACTTTTGTCTTGAACTGCTATCTACTAGTGAACGAGTACTTTATAAAGAAAACTGTAAACCCCACGGTTCGTGATACATTTGGAGAAGTCAGCTGAAGAGATTATTTTTGGATTTTGTCACGTGATAGCCGAACATTTCTTGATGTCGTTTGAATGATAGGCAAATAATATCCATCTCTCCTAAGGGGGTCCAGAGGTCAGATTCTTCTCTTCCTTGGTCATATCTAACTAGTGCAAAACAGCATTGCGGTAACGCCTGTTAATGATGCTGGTAAATTAGAACATGGTAAATCGAAAGATGGTTTTAAAAATCATTTGTTCCTTGCATATTTTGTATGTCTAGATGGAGACGACATTATGTCTTATACATCCTTGTTTCCATTCATATCATTTGAAGGAACTCAGTTCCAAATTTTTTTTTTTGCTTTTGGAAGAGGTGAGTCCATGGAAAAGTTAGTAGGAAGCTGACATCAGGAGACTGCAGGTTTTTTACAGGGGAATGAGGTAAGCCCATTTGAAATCTCTCATCCTCTTTTTTGAAATTTAGAAGACAAAAGTCCAGACTGGCAGGTCTTCAAGTCACTTTTGCTTCAAAGTTCAACCATTTATCTGAAAATACAGTCATCCCTTAAAAGCGATATATTGCAGATGCTGGGGATCTGAAATGAATAACAGAGAAAATACTGGATAAACTAGGCAGGTCTGGCAGCATTTGTGGAGAGAGAAACAGTTAAGGTTTTGAGTCCAGTCTGACTCCTCCTTGGAATTCTCCAAACTATCAAAACTAACTTGAGTGATTCACGTTTTTTTCATCCCGATTTTAAATTGTTACACTACCCTCTATGTTGCAAGTGGCATCCTTTTTTTGTTTGAATAAAAGCATTCTCTTGAATCCCTCGGACAAGATATCCTAAAATGCCCTCTGCAAACAACAAAGACCTTTCCAATTAAACTCTTTTTGTTGAAGTCAGTTAGTGAAAGAATTCCACATCACCTGATCACCACTTTATATCAAGTTAGAATGGCATTTGAGTGAGGGATGCAGTTTTACTTGACTATGGGAATCCCAAACATTTATACTGCCAACTTCATCAATTAGCGGAGAAAATGTAACAATTGTTCACAGGAGGTAGTTCCTCTTTGCAAAAGGAGGTGGTTCAAAGTTATGGACTGTTCCACAAAGTAAAGGCCTCTCTGTACAATTCATTACTAACATTATAGCGACCTGATTTGACCATTCCTTACGCAACTGACACATTGACAGCATTTAATTAGACCGTGTAATGTATCCATTTATGATTGTATATCTTGATGCAATATCACAATGAGCAGTTGGAAATTACACTTAATGAGACAAAAACATCTATTAGTTTGCAAGAATGTGAGACAAATTCAAAGAACCCTTTTTCTAACATCCAGAAGTTATCAGATTTGTTTTAATGTTGAATAGTTGCCCAGAACTAATTGTTACTTGAGCTCACTTTGTTTTGTCAAGACTTTGTGTTTGCACTGTGTATTTTGTTTAATCAAGATGAGTGTTTATTATGCAGAGGGAATAGTGAGGCAGAGATCAGCTGAGTCCAGTGGTTAAATTGACCCTAACTTAAAAATCTGCTGTGTTGACCTACATAGGACATTCCAGCAAAGCATTCCGAAGGATTTCATGCCCAGTTTAATGAAAGTCATGGTAATTTGAAAATGTAAAGGGTTTTTTGTAAAAGCTTCAATTTTACGTAAGAAGTGCATTTCAAGCAGAAATTTATTAGGAAACTGGACTGCAGGAAACAAAAATTAACCTTACAGCTGCCATATTACTATAAATTAGTGTTGCCAAGTCTTCATTCTTGTCAGTTTGGGTAATTAGTTTGTTCGTCCAAGTGACATTGAATGTTTCACTCTGAAAGTCAGTTTCACTAAAATGAGGTTTTAGAGGCTTCTGTGACATTCTTGAACATCGTTGAGTTGGAAATTTAACCATGGAGTCACAGAAAGCAAGTGCAGAAATTGTTACCAAAAACAACGGCTTGCTCTTGGGATCCTTAATGGCCATGGCAGTTTAGAAGGTCAAGAGACAGCCTTTTCAGGAGTGCTAAAGCCAAAAATTTAAATATTTTAGAGCAATTTGCTTCATTTCAGGTAAGGGCAGGGGGGAATTGAAAAGATTTAAAGTATCAAAGGGAAACTTTGCCAAAATGCCCAGAAAGCTGCAGGGAATTCTGCCAATGTACCAGATGGCACTGGAAGTGTTTTTGGGGTTTCCTGCCCCAATTACTTGAAGAGCACAGGTGAAGGTGGAAATGAACAAGTGTCAGCTGTTAAAGAAATAATTTTTCTAATTTTGCTTGCCTCTGTAACTAATAACAATAATGGAAAGAGTCATTTCTCTTTTTCAGACAATGTTATTCTTCTTCTGTGATGCACAGGTTCTAAAAAGCATTCTGATGCCTTGAAACTTGACTGGGTCAATAATTTTCAGGAATGCTCATGTTTGAGCAGAATACGCAAAACAAATTGATTTTTTTTTTGTCAATAGCAGGTTCTCTTAATGACTGTGTATCTGCTGGGATTTCTAACTTTTATACATACTTTCCCTGGTTGAATTCTGATTCCAGAGCCTTTTTTTTTTTTTTTGTTCCTAATTGTTAGAATTTGATCTGCAAAAATGCCATCTACACACTGCCAATCACAATTTAAATCCTGCTTTGAAAACAGAACAAAATGGAACATAAAAGCCATCTTTTAAAATTGTACAGATGTACACGATATCTTTTAACTTCATGTCCTACATTATTAGTATTGACAGCACTGCTTGCTTTTATAGCTTCCTTAATATAGGAAGAGTTCCAAAAGTGCTTACTGTGAATTTAATTGGGCAAAGATTCACAGTGAGCCAAAGAAGGACTACTAAAAAGTGTCTGAAATTTTGATCCAAGAGGCACATTTTAGGGAACATCTTCAAGATGGGAAGGATATTGAAGAGGTTTAAAACCTAGACAGTCAAAAACATTGCTGTCAGTGGTGGAGTGAAGTTCTTGGAAATTTAGAGCTGGAAGAGTTAGAGGCAGGATGGTTAGATCAAAAGGGAATTTGAACAGAAGGATGCAAATGTTAAAATGGAAGCCCCAGTGGACCATGAACCAGTATAGGTCAGTGAGTACAGGAATGATGGGTGAGTGGGACTTGGTATGGTGAGGAGAGTGTTTGTTTGTTTGTTTGTTTGTTTTATGGAGGATGGAAGATTGGTAAGGAGAGAATTGAAACAGTCAAGCCCAGAGTGAGAAGTACGTGGCTGAGATGTCAGCAGTGGATAGATGCAGGCAATTGTGGAGACGTGTGATATTATAAAAGTGGAAAGATCCTTGGAAGGACTTTGAGAAAATAGGATCAGAAGCTTAGTTTGGGGTCATTGAGATTGAAAACTATCTAGTTGAACCTGAGATACTGACCAGGGATAGGGATGAAATGAATAGTGATGATTCTCCTTTTAATTGTAGTGCTTGGAGAGAAACTGATAGTTCATCTTCTAACAGAACTTGTTCTTCTTGGGACTGTTTTTCTTCTTAAGAAACCTTCTCTGAAGTGGCCAGAATGATGCCAATTTACACAGATACCTGGGCCTGTGTTAGTTAAATGCAGAATTTCACTTGGCTGCTTATCCTGCATCATTTAATCAATAACAAGTAAATCTAGTAAGTAGGTTTTCCTGCATTTTAAAAAGGCAAACTGGCACATCTCCAAATATACATAACAGGTAGAAACTAACTTCCACATGGGATGCACTTTACTTGTTTCCTCCATATTAGCAGGCCATTTTTTCGCTAACGTAACAGATTATTTCCTGTGCTCCTTCCTTTCTTCACCATGTCAATGCTTTTTAATGAAAACGTGCTTTGCAGTTTACTTTATGCTGAATAAGAAAGATTCTGTCACCTTTTTATATGATCATGAGCAAATCACATGATGTTTTCCAATGCATTCTTACTTGCTGTACTGTTGCCAACACCAAAGTGGTTGGGGAGGGGAGGAATGTTATCAGCGATTTCTTGCAAATCTTTATGGCTCTTACTGCCGTTATTAAATTGCTCATACATCATGAAATCAAGACGGTTTATCTTGTGAAAGGCAGAATTCTGGCTTTCTTTTGAACATTTTACATTTTCAAGAAGCATTAGCTGCATACTGTTACCATTCCTGTTGCTGATATGCTTTGTGGAGCAATTGAATGCAAATGTTAGAAACAATCTGAGATCCTGTGGCATACCCTCTAGTAATAGCTCTCTGAAATCCTACAAATGCAACCATTTTTCATTTGGAAGCATCTCTTGCACTTGAGAGTGTGGCAGGTGATCTTTTGGCACAATAGTCTGGTGTGTGCTAATGAAGTCTTGAGAGAAATTGAGTACAAGGGTTTCAGATGTCAAATGATTAAAGCTCTTTTGAGTTTAAACAAAATCAGCACTTTAGCAACCAACCGTCCATTTGTTTCTCCATTACATTTTGCAAGGAAATGTCTGAGCTGAAATGAACTTTTACTGTGTGTAATGCTCCTATTTAAATTACAAGTAGGTAACTGTTCTCAATGTGTTCTTTGTGCACTTTGTGGTTGGCCGTGCATTGCAATGAAATCTATGATCGTTGTGTGAAGAACAAGCCAATGGCTAACAAATAGCCCTTGTGTATGAGACTCGATGCAGAAAAGGCTTGTCAAGTTCCCAATGTGTTTTGTACTTAAGCCCATGAGTTGAAAACTATGGGGAGGGAGAAGAGGAGAGAAATAATAACAATCTGTATTCTTTTCCTCTGGTTTCTACCCGATGTTTAATATCCCACCTTTGCCACCCATTTTCCTTCTGTTTACACCTCTCTCTCTGCAGCCACTAGGAAGCAATCTGAGAAAAAGGGACACTTTAAAAATAATCGCGAAAGTAAATCCTGTGTAAAGAGTGCTCCTCATGTTTTCCAGTCTTCCGTCCTCAAGAACCTGTGGTGGTTTCTCAAGACTGTTACTATTGAAAGTTCATGAAGAGCTTGAACAAATTGAAATGATTGATGATTTTTATCCTGTCCTATTTATTACTGTGAGAAGGGGTGTATCTAATCACAAGCAGCAACAACAATGCGCGGTCTAAATGACTTTTGTGTTAAATATTTTTGTCTCTTGCCCAACCCCCAATGTACATGGAGGGGAAATGAGCAGGGATGAGGAAACTGGAAGCATTTATGGTCATACTGAATACATCTGTTCAGATATGCTTTGCTTTTTCTGTCTTCATTGAATCTATCCAAGTCATTCTGAAGGAAGTCTTAGCCACCTACCCCTGCCAATGGCATCCCCAACATGAGGGTTTGAGGCGGGTAGTAGTCAATCCAAGCACTCCATAGCTAATCCCATTGCATCTTCGTAATTATTGCAGTGTAGTTCTTGGATTTTTGAAGACAAATATTAATATATATTTTTCTGCTATGCAGAACTCTGCAAGAGATTTGAAGATTATAAGTTGTAAAGGTCTTTAGAAAGTCATCTACACCAGGTGACGCTATTGTTGACTTTGTGTTTTGCAGTCCTTTGCGTCAGGTTTGATTGTTCACTCCATACAAACACCTGTATGTCTTGGATCTGCTTTGATTTTACCTGAAAGGAAAGGGGAGAAAATATTATTTAATACACTGATTAGTATGTGAATTGTAAATTGTAGTGAGGGAGGGGAAAAGTACATGTTTGCTATGAAAATGAAAATTTGTCTGTCAACAGTACTCAGTATGGCAAAGGTCAGTCATGTTGGCAAATTATCATTCACTGTTGAAATGGTTGCTGTTTGTTGACTTTGGAGCTTGTTCATATGCTTGTGCCATAAAAATAATGATTTTTTTTTTAGTCCAGTATGATGTCTTTTGAACAGTTTCATTACCTAGATCATCTGGACCTGAGATGACACTGAAGTAACTAGCATCCATTTGTCGAATGGTAGCTAACTTGACCCTGTGTTTCTAATGCAAACGTGAGTTAAGTAGTTTTCCTAATTAGTGTACCACTGTACAGGTTAATGTACTAATGTAATCATGTTTCATCATGCATGGTACAGAAAGATTCAAGTGTATATGTTGTCATAAAAATAAAAATGAATATAAACCAAGTCTTCACATTCTGTGGTCATTTGTATCAGCATGAAACCTACTTCAAATGTCCTCTTATGGAATCATTAGAATCCTATTTTACAGCTGGTCCCTATCTCTGTAACGCTCCAAATTCATCATTTTCAAATTTCAAATGGAATCCGCCTCCTACTCTCCCAAGCAGTGCATTCCAAATCCTAACAACTCTCTAAGGAAGTTTCTCCTCATCTTACTCCTTGGTCTCTTGCTGACAATTTTGAAATTGTGACCTTTCACTACTGACGTACCAGCTAGTGGAAACAGGATATCCCACTTTATCCTGTCAAAACTGTTCATAATTTTCAAAACCTCAATAAGGTCAGCTCTTGATCTTCTCTGCTCCATGGAGAATAAGCCCAATTTCTCTAATATTTCCTTGTATCTAAAATCTCTCATTCCTCGTATCATTATGGTAAATCTTCTTTGAACACTCTCTCTCCAGGGCTTTAACATCCTTCCTTAATTAAGGTGCCCAGACTTGAACACATTAATCTTAAATGTGGTCTGACCAATGATTAGTAAAGGAGTAGCATCACTTCTTTCCTTTTATGCTCTCTGCCACTATTTATAAACCCAAGGATCTTTCTAAACAAGTATTTCAACTTGCCTGGCCACATTCAGAGAATCACGCATGTGAATTCCAAGATCCCTCTGCCCCTGTACTCCCCTCAGTTGTACCATTTGAGCCTGTATTGTCTGTCCATGTTTCATCTACCAAAAGGCATTTGAGATTCACCTGCCAGGTGTCTGCCCATTTGGCCAACTTGACAATGTCCTCTGAAGTCACTCAGCATCATCCTCAAAATTCACAATTCTCCCTGGTTTATTATCATCTGCAAATTTAGAGATTTTACCCTTAATGCCCATCTTTAAATCATTTATAGAAATCAGAAAAAGCAAGGGGCCCAACACCAATCCCTAGGGAACAACATTTTCAACTCGTCTCCAATCTGAGAAATGCCCATCTATACCTACCCTCTGTTTCCAATCTTTTAGCCAACTTTTAATCCATGCTGCAAAGGACCCATCACTCCCAAACATGTCTAATTTGCTAAACTACCTGCCATTTGGCATGATATCAAGTGCTTTCAGAAAGTTCAAATATACAACATCCCCAGCACTATCCTCATCCACTGCCTGTGTCAACTCATCAAAAAATTCAATTAAATTTGTCAGAGGTGACCTGTCCTTGATATAGTCATTTTGACTGTCTAGTATTAACATATAATAGGAGTCCAAATGTAAATAAATGTTGCAGTGTGCTGCTCTGCAGAAGGATGTGCTTTTGTGTCCTCAATTCTCTGACTGCATGCATTTATATGTTGCTTCTAGTGCCAGCTCCATCAGTATAGAATGGTCGAGCCTTTTAAAAAGTAGCCTGAGGAAACACTTGGGTTAATTTCCTCAAGGGGAATGGTTAGTACAGGGTGAAAATGAATGTGTGTCATTCTCTGAGAATGTTTCATTTAGAATGACTGATTTTTAGTGCCATTCACTTAATATAGCATCTAATGTTACTACGGTAGTGAAAAAAGACCTTGAATTTTTTCCTATGAACTGAGACACAGAAGTCCATTATTAGCTTCCGAACTCCTACAGATGAAAAGTGAATTTTGGACCACAGAAGATGACACGAGATTCAGCTTTGTACTGCACAATCCTGGTTTGTGCCTGAAACCTGATTGAACATGCCCTCAGTTTAAAGCAATGTTTATGAACTCTGTCATGCAACAACCTTTTGGAAAACTATTTACCCTTTGAAATGCGAACCACAAACAAAACAAAATAATTAAAGTTAATGAAATGGAAGTGCCAAGGCCAAGTAATTTTTCTTAAAATCATTCACAGGATTTGGGTATTGCAATAAATGCTGGCTTAGATAGCCCATCTCTAATTATCCACAGGGCAAGTAAGAGTCATCCACAATGCTGTGGGTCTGGAGTCACACGTAGACCAGACCAGGTAAGAATAGCAGTTTCCTTCCCAAAAGGACATTGGTTACTCAATTTGCATATTTTTCCCTCCAGTCAACAACCGTTTCATGGTCATCATTAGATTCTTAATTCTAGATTTTAATTGAATTCAAATTCCATCATCTACCATGATGGGATTCAAACCTGTGCCCTCAGAACATTATTGTGTTTCTGGATTAACAATGTAGCAATAATACCATTAGCCCATCGCCTGTCTGCGTATTAGATAAAATGGAAAATATAAAATATAGTTTAAAATCGGTTTTCTTGGTTGGAAAGTCTCTTAATTGAGTTGCTACAAGCATAGTCAGCATTCAAACTTCAGCCTTTGTTTTCTTTTGTGAAGTTTAACTAAATTGTGTTTAGTAATCTGGTTAGAAAGTACAGCTGGAATTGCTAACCTGAATGCTGCTTTGAAAATTCCTGGATGATAGAAATTAAACCAAATGTGCTGAGATCTGGTAAGATTAGGTTGATTGATAGAAACTTTTTTTTTTAAAAAAAGAAGTTGCCTGTTCCTGATGTGAAAAGTTTGTGGTATAGTGCATGTAAAAATAAAAAAAATCTCTCATTGCTTGCTTATTTCAGGCTTTTGTCAGCCATGTCTCAGTTGGAAGCACTTCTACTCCTACATCACTAGATTCTGATTTCAGCTCTTGCTCCAAAAGTGAGTGTGCAAAGATCAAGGCTGACATTCTAGAACTATAGCACAGGAGTGCTGCACTTCTGTAGATGCAACCCTTTCATTAAAAGATTCAACTGAGATCTCACTATCTGCTTGAATGGTCCAAAGTGTCCAAGCTAATATTTATTCCTCAATGAACATCACAAAATCTAATTAATTGGTCATTATCACATTGCTATTTGTTGGTGTTTGTTGATTACATATTGGCTGGGGTTTCTTGCATTATAACTTGCAACATTTCAAAAGAACTTCATTGGCAGGAAAGCACTCTGTACAGTCTGGTGGTCATGAAAAGTGCTATATAAATTCAAGTCTTTCTTTTTGAGGAGTATTAAAGAAATCTCATCATGTATGTTGTGCAAGCACATGCATTTAACTTGTTTCAGAGATAGTAGGAACTGCAGATGCTGGAGAATCTGAGATGACCAGGTGTAGGGCTGGATGAACACAGCAGGCCAAGTAGCATCAGCATCTGGGGCTGCTTGGCCTGCTGTGTTCATCCAGCTCTACACCTTGTTATCTCTGCATTTATCTTGTGCCAGGTTTACACTAAAATGTTTATCAAGAAACAACTGGTCAAATATTTGTCATCCACACTTTGGCCTCAAAACCGCTCATCATCCAGACTTGGAAGTATACTGTCATTCCTTCAATGTTGGATCAAAATCCTGGAACTCCCTCGCTAATAGCATTCTGGATATACTGACAGCATGTGGGCTACAGCGATTCAAAAAGGCAGCTCACTACCACTTTGAGGGCAACTAGGGATGGGAAATAAATGCCGGCCTGCTGCGTTAGGATACAATTCAGGAAATGAAAGTGACTTGTGGCAACCGTGCTTCTCCTGTAGCGCATTCTGCTCTGCCTTAGAAGATTGCAGGTTTAAATTTCACTCCAGAAACTTGCACACCCAGTTCAGGCTAACATTCCAGTGCCCCGGCTGAAGGCGTGTTGCACTGTTGGAAGTGTTGACTTTGGTTGAGATGTTAAACCAAGGCTCCATCTCGTCCCTCAGTTGGAAATAACAGATCTGGTAGAATTACTTTGAAGAGCAGGAGAACTCTTCCAGATGTTCTGATTAAATATTTATCCCCGAAATAACATCAAAGAAACAGATGATCTGGTCATTATCACAATGCCGTCTGTGGACATTTGCTGTGTGAAAATTAACTGACACATTTCCTACATTACAGAGTGACTATACTTTTAAAAAGTAGCTGTTGAGTGTTTTGGGAGGGGAAAGCTACATGATGTTCTTTATATTCATTTGGGTTTTCATTTTGTACTAATAAACAGATGATATTCTGGCCTATTGTAAGATTGACTTGATCAACGTTTGTGTTATGTGATGTAATAATGTTATGATGTCAGGAAAATTGTATTGCATGATGGGGTAGGTTCAATGGGCTGAATGGCCTATTCCTGTTCTTATGTTCCTTCCTATGTCTGTATGTACTAGTTACAACTTCTCTTCCTGTTTGAAGAGATTAGCAAGGTTTTCAAGCATTGGTTGCGTTCAAGTTCAATTGGGTCTTCGTTAGAAGATGGCCTGTCACAAAAGGAAATTCCATTATTTGACTTTCTAATATATTTCTGATTTTTTTTCATGGAAACGCTACATTTTTTTCTCTATTTGCCATTTCCCCTTCCTCCACACAGTCTCCCTTTCTCCATCCAATGCCTAAATTTGACTGAGAAATCCCTTAAAATTAGATTTAAAATGTATTTGTTGCTAAAATAGTTTAATTGCTCATACTAAGCTCACCAAATAATGTGAATGGATCTTTTCCGGAAGGAACAATTTGCAAGATTTTGGAGGAAGATGATTGGCTCTATTTGGCTAGCTGGACTATTTCTAAGAATGGCGTATAATTCTCAGAGTTGCTCTAGTTTTTAGCAAGTCTCCTGGTTTGAAGTTAATTCTTTCTCCGCACTTGTGTACAGAGATTAAACTGCACCCGCACAACCACCTAATAACTGATATTTAATCAGTAAGGTAAACTTGCAAAGTCAAAACTTTTACTTGACACAGCAGGAACTACTCTTCTAAAATTTTATCCTTTATGTGAATTAAATGATGAGTTAATCAGATCAATAGTACTGACCAATTTCATTGCATTTAAAGTGTTGTTTTCTTCACAAACTCTGTTAAATGAGGTAGTTTAGAAAGGTTTTTGAGATGAAAGTGCTAAGATTGTCATTATCAGATTTTAACTTGAATCAAGAGAACTAACTGAGTAGTTGGAAGTATCTCCTTTTGAATGCTTGAGATAAATACATGACATGGGATGATTTGTAGCTGTACATTCCAAGATTGCCCCCA